AGAGAGAGAGAGAGAGAGAGAGAGAGAGAGAGAGAGAGAGAGAGATGAAAAACTCTGCCAATAGTTATTCGCAATCGAACGAAGCTTTTCTCTTTTTTTTTCGCCCTTTCCTCGTTTTCCTTCACGCTCCATCATCTCGCCTCTTCGAAAGCCAAGAGGATTCGATTCAATCGCCTCGAAAATCCTCGATCGTTCTCCTTTCGTCTCAACGTTAAATGAGAAATTTTCAAGTTGGACGGAAAGCGATGGAAAAAGATGTGGATAATGTTTCGAGTTAAAATATAATATAACGAGTATATAAGGGAAATTTATTTTAAAGTTTCGTTTCTTCGATTGTTATTATTATTACGAGGGAACAAGGGATCGTTGAGAATGATATGTGGCGAGAATTGATATGTAATATGATTGGAAGAAGCGTGGATATATCTTCGAAAGTGGAGCGAGAACGATCGAGAAACACGGAAAGCGATTATTTGCCTTTTTAAAAAAAAAGAACGGTTGTTATTACTAAATCTTCCAGTTTACATTGTCGAAGGTAAAATTATGCTTTACGAACAGGTTTTTACGAACGCAAAAGAAGAATCGCGAACCGCATCCTCCGTCATAACCAGACTGCTTGCTGTTTGCTTTTTATCGTACTGAAACGTGCTCAAATATTCAAGTGATATCTTTATGTATTACGTAAGATATTATATCGATTACGTTACGCACGTTGAGTCACGCAAAAACTTGTCAATTGTCGATGATAGGAAAAGTATTTGCATAAAAATCCATGATCGGATCGTCAACACAGTTGCTCGTACATACATCGGTGAAAAAAACCACTTGTTTCCTCCTGCGATCGGGTGCAAAAATAAGAAAAATCCGAGAAAAGAAAGGTAAGAAAAAAGGAGGGAAAAAAAGAAGAGAGAAAAGCGAGGACGTTGATGATAACTTAATTTCTGAAATTATAGCGATCGTAACGGATCGCGTGATATGCAATCTGCGATACGTAATGCTTGCTTCGTATCGACGCAGAAAAAGGATCGTCGGCAATTAGCTCGGAATTACGATCTGCGCCACTTGTACCGTATTTTCGACTCGCCAACGACATCTATCGGGCAACCGTAATAACAGTCGTTAGGGTGAACCGCGACGACACAACACGGCTTCCTATTCGAACGATTTATCGAGAGCACGTAAAATCGGGACAGAGAGTTAGAACGAACGTGTTTTTGGATCGCTCGTGGCAAATGAATCGTGACAGATAATTAACGCATTAAGAATGGAAACGGTCGTATTG